ATACATGATCTAAAACTTCAACTTTAAACATGCATAAGCATCAATTCATTCATAAACATATTCACGCCCGGCGTAGTCTAAGCTCGCCCAGCCTAATCCCAACCCGAGAGTCCTAAGACTCATCCACGCCCAATACGTTCAACTCACGCTCGATGTCCTTGAAACAGAGACTCCTAATAGTATCCACGCCTGACGTAACCAAATCACGTCTGGCCCAACATCCAACCCTAGAGCCCTAAGCTCTTCCACGCCTGGCGCGCTCAACCTGCGCCTAGCCTAATCCTAGTTAGAGAGTTCAGAAACTCTCATCCAAACCAACAAATCCAGCTACATGCAAACACAAAAACACAATGCATAGGCTCCATACAACGCAAAAACAAACTCAAAATCTACATGCACCCATCTGATGCATCAATTCCACCCAAAAACCCCATTTTTCCCAAAACCTCGAAAAAAATGTGCGGATTCTCCGATCCAGCCATGGACCCTCAACTTCATGCATCAATTGAATTTCTAAACCCACATGCAACTTAAATAACAAACATTATAGCTTCCCTCACCTGAAGATTGGCTCAAAATAGCCAATAACTGAGAAGAAGTAGAATTCCCTTCCGAAGCTCAACCTGGAACTTCAATCCTCCCAAAGCAAGCTTCCTAGTCTGAATTTCAAGAAAAGCTAGAAGGCGTTAGTGATCTAAAGGAGAAAAAGAATCATACAGAGAAATTTGGGAGAGAAAGGAGCTCACAGACCCAGAGTCCTTCCCTCTAAAACTTCTCTCTAAAAACTCATTCTCCTCAACTGCCCCCAACCCCTATTTATAGACATTCCGGAGTGGTCAGAACGGCCTGTACCGAAATCGGAACGGCCCGTTCTGCACTCCTTCAACACGTACAAAAACCACATGTAGAACGACCCGTTCTGAAATCAAAACGGTCTGTTCTGGTACTCATCCAGAACGACCCGTTCTCCATCCAGAACGACCCTTACTCCCTCCGGAACGGCCCGTTCTCCACCTAGAATGGCCCGTTCTCCAACTAGAACGGCCCGTTCTCCAACCAGAACGGCCCGTTCTCCCTCCAGAATGGCCCGTTCTCAACTAAAATTTTCAGTTCAATTTAATAGCTTGGAACGGCCCATTCCAGATTGGGAACGGCCCGTTCTAGGCTACTCTACAACAACTTGCTATGTTACAATACCCCCCAACAAATAGGAATTTTCGTCCCCGAAAATAGGCTTACCTGAAAAGAGGAATGGATACTGTTCCTTGAACTGACTCTCCACCTCCCAGGTAGCCTCACCAGTAGCTGCATTCCAAAGAATCTTCACCAAGCTGATGGACTTGCCACAAAGCTTCTTCAACTTGTGATCAACCACAGCTACCGGTCTCTTCTCATAGGTCAAGTTCTCTCTAACTTGCACCTCATCCATCTCTACCACATAACTCGGTTCTCTGATGTAGTTCCTCAACTGTGAAACGTGAAACACATGCTCTTCCTCTTCAAATTCTAGAGGTCTCCTCCTCTTATTAGCATAGGACTTTTATCAACTCTACGTAGCCCTCAACCTTTCCTGAATCTATCTCACCATCTCAGTAGTCTAAAGAACTAACTCTGGACCAACCACTACTGCCTCACCCTCATGATACCAACATAATGGAGTCCTACACCTCCTGCCATACAAAGTCTCAAAAAGGCGCCATGCCAATACTCGAGTGATAATTGTTATTATAAGTGAACTCTACCAATGGTAACACCTCCTCCCAGCTACCCAGATAATCCAACACACAATATCTCAAGAGATCCTCCCATGACTGAATTGTCCTCTCTGACTAACCATCTGTTTGTGGATGATAAGCGGAGCTCAACCTCAACCTCGTTCTCAAAGCCTGATGCAGAGTCTGCCAACCTGGAAATAAACCTTGGATCTCTGTCGGAGATAATACTGGAAGGCACTCCATGTAACCGTACTATCTCTCTAATATATAACTGTGCAAGCCTCTCCAAGGACCACCTCTTGATAGAAAGAAAGTGCACATACTTTGTCAACCTATCAACAATCACCCAGATAGAGTCACTGTTCCTAGTTGTCCTAGGCAACCCAACCACAAAGTCCCTAGTGACACTATCACACTTCCACTCGAGATTCTCCATCAGCACTAAGCTCAAAACCAGCTGCCCTCTCGGTACCAAGCAACCCCAAAATCCTCAACAACTTTGGATCCTGTAATTGCTTAGTTCCCATCTGTCTCAAGAACTCATTAGTTATGGTGATCATACCACAACTAATGTGATCTTGAACAACCTCCACCTCTAGTCTCAAATCTCTGTACTGCTCAATCAGTTGCATCTCCCTAATCATCATAGCCGACATGTGAATGGATTTCCTATTCAATACATCTGCTACCACACTCGCCTTCCCAAGATGATACATCAACTGGAAATCAAAGTCCATTAGGAATTCCATCCACCTTCTCTGCCTCATATTCAACTCCTTCTGATCACTAAATACATTGAATCTCGCACCATACAAATAGTGCCTCCACGACTTCAAGGCAAACACCACAACTGCAAGCTCCAAATCATGAGTAGGATAATTCCTCTCATGAGTCTTAAGTTGCCTCGAAGCATACGCTACTACTCTCCCTTCCTGCATCAACATACAGCCCAACCCTCGGTGAGAAGCATCACAAAACACTTCAAGATACTCACCAATGTCAAGTAACACCAAAATTGGAGAAGTAGTCAATCACCCCTTTAATTCCTAAAAACTCTGCTCTCAAGCGTCCATCCAAACAAAAAGCTAATCCTTCCGAGTCAGTTAAGTCAAAGGCATTACTATTTGAGAGAAACCCTCTATGAATCTCTGATAGTAACCCGTTAACCCAACGAAACTCCTAATTTCCGTAACAGTCCTCGGACACTCCCACTGAATCACAGCCTCCACCTTGGCTGGATCCACTGCAATCCCCTCTGTCGATATCACATGCCCCAAAAATCTCACCTCAGACAACCAAAACTCACACTTGGACAGCTTGACATACAACTACCTCTCCCTTAGCACCTCTAAAACCAACATCAAATGCTCACGGTTATCCTCCAAAGATCTAGAATACACCAATATATCATCAATGAATACCACCACAAACCAGTCCAAGAATGACCTGAAAATCATGTTCATGTAATCCATGAACACTATTGGAGCATTAGTGACACCGAAACGCATCACTACGTACTCACAACGACCATACCTAGTCTTGAAAGCAGTCTTCGGTATGTCACTCTCCTTTACCTTGATCTGATGGTATCTGGATCTCAAATCAATCATCAAAAACACCGAAGCTCCTCTTAGCTGATCCATCAACTCATCAATCCTCGAAAGTGGATACTTATTCCTTATCGTCAACTTATTCAGTTGCCGATAATCAACACACAAACGAGCCCCACCATCTTTCTCTACTAACAATACCAGGGCACCCCAAGGAGAAACATTGGACCTCACCATCTGTTTCTCCAAAAAAATTCTCAGTCTGTTTCTTCAGCTCTACCAACTCAGCTTAAACCATCCTATAAGGAGTCACTGATACCGGTCTTGCACCTAGTACCAAATCAATGCTAAACACAACATCACACATAGGTGACAATCTTGGCACATCATCTGGGAACACCTCAGGAAACACACTGACAACCCAATCCCAGTGATGGCCCTCTTCGTCTCAACACTCAAAACGACAAATAACATGAAGCACTCAACTCCATCTCTCATCAACTACTCAGCCTGACCCGTTGACAACAACACCTCATCCTCCAACTGAGGAAATACCAACTCTCTTCGAGCACAATCTATAAGGATGTGATGGGCAAAAAACCAATCCATCCCTAAGATTATGTCAATATCTACCATGAGCAACACAATCAGGTTCACTCAGAACTTCCTACCAAACACCTCTATCGGGCATCTCACACACATCTCTAATGTCACCAAAGAAATTGAAGCCGGAGTAGATACATACAAATCAACGTGCCATGCAGACACTAACAACCCAATCTCCCCACACAATCAACAGAAAAAAATGAAAGTGTAGCACCGAAATCAAACAGGAACAAAACATCCTCACCTGCTGCCTTCCCCTCCCTCTTCACCAAATCTGATGAAGTGGAAACCTCTACACCTGATAAAGAAAATTACTCTCTCCTCAACCGTAGGCCTGACTGGCCTCAGGGCCCTCCCAGATGGAGTCGATAGCATCTAAAAATCTTTGAAATGTGGCCTGGCCTGCCACATCTGAAAAAAAATATTCCCCAAATGGGAACAATCTCTAACCATGTGGGCTTCTCCACATCTGTAACATTGCACTGACTGTGCCCCCCCCTGAGGAGAAGCAGGATGAGGTCCCCTACTAACAGCCCCCCTTTGAGACTGAACAAGCTTGTCATAGGGTCCTCTCTGCTGACCTCCCCTCCTAGATCCGGATGATCCCTCCTGAACTCTAGCAGCCTTACCGCCGCTACCACCACCTTCCAATCTCTCAACAATCTTTGCCTTCTCAACCAAGGCAGGAAACTTCACTATGGACATAGGGACTATGACCCTCTTCAGCTCATGCCTCAATCCCTCTGCAAACTTCCTACATCTCCAAGCCTCAGATACGCCCTGAGAGTAAAAATGAGCCAGACGCTCAAACCTCATAGCATACTCAGAAACAGATAAGCTCCCCTGATGTAGTCTCATGAACCCTGCCTCCTTAGCTATCTAACATTGTCCAAAAAAATACTTCTCCAAAAAAACTCTCTTGAAGCAATCCCAATCTACAACCACACCTCTGCTCTCTATCATTTACCTGGTGCCTCTCCACCAGTACACAATCTCGCCTGCCAGCATGTAAATTGTATAGGCCAACTTTCTCTCCTCAGAAGACCCTAGAACACTGAAGATCTTCTCCATTTTACACAACCACTAATATGCCACATCAAGATCTAAAACCCCCCTTAAACTGAGGAAGCTAACATCTCCTGAACTCTGCTAAATCTCTCCCATCCTGAGAGACCACCCGTCTAGCTGCCTCAATCGCAGTTCTACCTGCCTCTATCTGAACAAAGTGAGCACTTTGTTGCCGCATCACCATGGCCATCATCTCCATAGCCCTAGCGATCTGATCAATCTAAGGCCTCACCATACTAAAAGAATTCAAACATTCTTTTACTAACACTTCACCACTACAACTCACCAAAATTAACACATATTAGAGATATGACACAACAGAAAACTAGAAGGATCACTCCCCACAAAGTGTCCCAAAAGACTCGACCGGCTCTGATACCATAAAAGTGTAACGACCTGCCATGGTCTCTACACTTAGTGGAATCGCATTACTACTAGTGAACTAAGAGAAATATTAAGTTAGATAACTCATACATACAAATATAGATAAGAATAAAAATAACTAAATTTCTTAAATACAAAATAGAACGCCATATATGTACAGTCATCCCAAAAATAATATTCCCTAGTGCCGGTCAAGCACAGACAAAATCATTACCCAAAATGGTAACCCTAACACGAGGATCAAACTCCCTGTCTCGCAGCAGTCACTTCAACTCCAAGCTAGCCCTGACCTACTCCCATACCAAGTATGATCATCGCAGTTCCACTACATGGAAACAGAAAGATAAGCTAGAATTCAAAACCAATCATACAAGTACAGAATAAAATCTATACTACACATCATTCAACTATCAATCATATTCATAGAGTCACACCATACATTCTATCCAATACTACTCATGCATAAAATACAATTCACCAATCATGAAGTCAAACACCACACTTCATCATATTAATAATCATGCAATAAATGCATCTCATGACAGATATCAAAGCATATCAATCATCTAATGCATCGTCACGCATACACCTAGGAGATCTCCATAACGATAGAGTTGTATAAGTGACATTCCATCCTACCGAAACCACCCCAACCTTTTTCACGCCCAATGCGCCCGCTCGGTCACAGCTAAACAGGATATAATCCTCATTCGGGTTTACTCGGATGATGTCACTTACACAATTGGAAGTCCAAATCAACCGTCAGGTATAGCATAGCTGGGTACAGGCTTACCAAGACCTTGGCATGCATAACCAAATCAATTGTGGAGTTCGCCCACCGACTATCCGCAAGGATCCACGCACCTTCCCGAGTACTTGGTTAAGGGAATAACCCTCGACCTCATACCCCGCTCCAACACTAACTAAGGACTTAGAGGAGACTCACCTAACCTAGTGGCCTATCTGAGCACCACTCTCCCAAATTTACATTTGGTAGTAAATTACCTTTTCATGATAATCTATTACTTTATGTTTACACATAGAAATTCTAAAAAATCAAATTCTTGGTTTCTTAAAAAACTTGATTAGTTCTTGAATTAAGCATTCATCATCATCATCAAACATAAACAAACACACAGGCATCAAGTAATAAGTGTAATATAATACCAGGAATGTGAAAACTCCAGATGCTGAAAGAAAAGTTGCCTTCCTGCAAAAGACCTAGAAACAGAGAAATCAGAAGTTAGCAATTAATATAATCAAAGCAACCCTAACAATTTCAGAATAAGTGTCACGGGAAATACAGGATCAGCTTCAACTGGCCTTCCAAATGGACAGGCTAAGGCTTCAATGAAGTTCCTTCTAACTTCAATCAATGAAACAGCCTCTAAGACCTAAGTTCAAAGTATATTTATATTAATTTTAACAAAAACAAGGATGTTCATAGCACTGAAAGTGCATAGTAAACTAATAGTAAAAAACACACTAAAGATAATGTCAGCTAACCTGTTTCCCAAGATATTCTTCCAGATTTGGAAGATATTCTGCCAAACACCTTTGCAAGACAAATCAATAATAAAAGGAAAAATATTATCAAAAACTATCTCAATATATGCCTCCTAATGGGACAAAGGATTTAATAAAAAATTGAAAAGCTTACATCCCATCCAACCAAGGAGGTAGCTTGACATCATCAGTGGAATATAGGGCTTTCAGCTCAGGAGAAGATACTAACTTCAGAGTAGGAGCTGAAGGTGCTGACATATATTTTCTTCCAACAGGATATACAACCTAGGTTTAACATAAATATATATATATATATATATATATATAAAAGTATAAATTTATTAAACTTATAATTATACACAATTTTATAGTTGAATTTGAATAAAATTTAACATATATTATATATTATTATAGTTTATATCTATATTATTTTAATAATATATTAATATATATTATATTTATAATAAAAAAGGTACTTTTTAATAATAATTATTATATAATTATAGGATAGACAATTTTTTTAATGCAATTAAAAAATATGTATTCACTATTTACTTTGGAAATTTAATTATATCTACTATTAAATCAAAAAGTAACACACAATTAAAAAATTATGAATTCTTTTATTTTTATTTTCTGCCTAAAAATGATTAAGAAAAAAGTGCAAAGAGTAATTTAACAAATATATAGACTTAGAAGGAGTTTCATTATGTGGTAATCAATTATCTCAAGTGGTAATCAATTATACCGATGAAAACTTTGATTCTTCAACCTTATTTCAAGCAAGAGAGTCTGTTTTAATCTATTACCAACTTTGGTAACCTGTTACCTCAAGAAGCACTTGAAAATCATTTTTCAATAACAGACTTGGTAATCTATTAACACATGAAATTTTAATATCATTTTCTAGTAACAGACTTGGTAATCTATTACCCTGAATGGTAATTGATTAACAATGTTATCTTGAAAATTCTTATTTTAATCAAGTCATATTTCTATGTTTAAACATTTGGTAGTAAATTACCTTTTCATGATAATCTATTACTTTATGTTTACACATAGAAATTCTAAAAAATCAAATTCTTGGTTTCTTAAAAAACTTGATTAGTTCTTGAATTAAGCATTCATCATCATCATCAAACATAAACAAACACACACACAAGCCTATATCTATTACAATGAATATAATATCCTTTTGCATAGATTTAAGCAACACCTATATAATACATCATCAAAACTAACACAATCTTGAGGAGTCTTCAAGATGTCCCATCATCTTCATCATCTCAACACTTCAAACCATGCATTGATGATTTTTGGGGATTAGTCCTTGGGGATAGCTCAATTTGGAAGTCCCTGTCTCGCTCATGGTGTGCATGGGATGTATCTTGCGCGGCTTAGCTATCCCGACGAGACTGTGGTAGTATATCCTTCTAGTGAGAGTGCGCAGAGGAAGTGACATGGCATGTACTCCTAGACTACTCTTCGTGTATTGCTAGCGGCAATATGCCATGTGATGTTTTACTGGCGCCACATGCATGATAATATGTAGTCCGTGTCCATGCATATGCATTCTTAATGTTATATGATAAAGTGATGGTTTATGTCTTGGGTGAGTGGGATGTTATTATTAATTTATCTATGTTATACTTATTTTGTTTGTGTTTGGCTATTCGGCGTATATTTCTACATTGTGAGCCAGAGTGAGATGTTTCTCACTCCCTTTTCTCGTGTTGTTTTGCTGTGACTATTGTACAGGTGATAGGATTAGTTTAAGATGTTCTTATTAAATTATTTTGGAAAATTCAGTTTTATTTCTTTGTAATTTTACCGGCATGTTATTTGGATTAAGTTTATGAATGTGAACTCTTTACCCTTACGTGGTTGGAAATTTGATTTTTATTGATGTAAAATTATATATATTTTTTATAATTACTATATATGTATGTTGGGGTAGACGGTGTCACAAATCACGTCTGGCCCAACATCCAACTCGAGAGCCCTAAGATCTTCCACGACTGGCACGCTCAACCTGCACCTAGCCTAATCCTAGTCAGAGAGTTCAGAAACTCTCATCCAAACCAACAAATCCAGTCACATGCAAACACAAAAACACAATGCATAAGCTCCATACAACGCAAAAACAAACTCAAAATCTACATGCACCCATCCGATGCATCAATTCCACCCAAAAACCCCATTTTTCCCAAAACCTCGAAAAAAATGAGCGGATTCTCCGATCCAGCCATGGACCCTCAACTTCATGCATCAATTGAATTTCTAAACCCACATGCAACTTAAATAACAAACATTCTAGCTTCCCTCACCTGAAGATTGGCTCAAAATAGCCAATAACTGAGAAGAAGAAGAATTCCCTTCCGAAGCTCAACCCGGAACTTCAATCCTCCCAAAGCAAGCTTCCTAGTCTGAATTTCAAGAAAAGCCAGAAGGCGTTAGTAATCTAGAGGAGAAAAAGAATCATACAGAGAAATTTGGGAGAGAAAGGAGCTCACAGACCCAGAGTCCTCTCTAAAACTTCTCTCCAAAAACTCATTCTCCTCAACTGCCCCCAACCCCTATTTATAGACATTCCGGAGTGGCCAGAACGGCCTGTACCGAAATCGAAATGGCCCTTTCTGCACTCCCTCAACACGTACAAAAACCATATGCAGAACGACCCGTTCTGAAATCAAAAAGGCCCGTTCTGGTACTCATCCAGAACGGCCCGTTCTCCATCCAGAATGGGCCGTACTCCCTCCGGAACGGCCCATTCTCCAACCAGAACGGCCCGTTCTCCCTCCAGAACGGCGCGTTCTCAACTACGATTTTCAATTCAATTTAATAGCTTGGAACGGCCCGTTCCATGGGAACGACCCGTTCTGGACTACTAAATCAACCACATTTTTTTTTCTACGTTACAGAAGATGTGTTTGTATTTATAAAAATACTTATAATTGTTTTAATATATATGTTTTTTTATGAAGCTTATAAAAATAATCTCTATTAATTTAATTTATTATTTTTTATAATTAAATATATGATATAATTTTGATTTAAATATGATTTTAGTTTGTACAAAATGAATAAGAATTGATTATGATCTTTATAAATTTTTATCTTTATTTTTCATTCCCTTATATTTTGAAACTATGTTTTTAGTCTTTAATTATTTTTAATTATTTATATTCTTATCAAAAAGTTAAGTGATTGTTTTAGTATTGATAATTGTGCATGATATTTTGTAACATAAGATTCCATTAATTAAAAAGTGAAGATTGTCTCATGTATATATATAGAATGGTGAAAGATCTATTTGTTCTAAGAATAAGTTTATTTAAACTTATCTCGTTCAATAATTCATATTCTACATCAAATAATTTTATGGTTATCTATTAAATTAAATTAATGAAACGAAATATCAAATAATTTTTAAATTTCTTAAAAATTTACAGATTTAATTTATATATTAATAATTTTAAATTTAATAATAAAATCATTAAAATTTAATATAAAACATAAATTATTAAATAAAATAAGTCAATATAAATTTATTCTTACATAAACATATACTTCTCATATATTTTATTCCCGATACAGCAGGAAAGTTGGACAATAGGCGGTGAAAGAGAGGAGAACAAATCAACAGGACCTTCACCACCATTTATTTTCATAAAGTCAGTTTATTAACCTTGAGGGCATGTTCTTGCATATATTTTGAACTGCACATAAAAACTAAATGATGAAACAGAAGCATGATTGAGATTGAGGAAATGCATGAGCATGATGGATGATAGCGAAGGATGATTCAAATCCGAATACGATCCAAGCAAGACTTTTTGTCAAGTTGATTGCTTTGCTGAAGGTGAATGTAATCTCTATATTTGATGGCACGGTACGCAGCGGGATTATCATCGCCAACCAGCTCTGGTGCAGGCCCCACATCGCTCTCAAGGCAGGGTCCGTGTGCTGTACCTACCGAAATTCTTGCGCCTTTCCCATTCACCACAGCACGATGAACTACGCTCTTGTATTTCCCATTCGTCAATATCTGACCACATATTACCAAATCAAATTCACAATTTTTAAATCTACCAGACATTAAAATATAATTATATTAAAAGATTTAAGATGGATAGCATGGTTTTTGATTTACCTCCATGTGATCCCCAGTGTTAATAAAAAAGGAGTTGGGCAAGGGGTAGACGGGAATCCACTTGCCGTTATGTTGAATTTGAAGCCCTTCAAGCTCGTTGTGCATAAGGAGGGTCAGAAGCCCATGGTCTGTGTGGGCTGGAAGGCCCATTACAAGTTCAGGGTTTGGACAACGTGGGTAATAGTTGATGGCCAGCACTTGGGAACCCAAATCTACTTTCATCCTTTTCTGTATGTAGTTTTCTTCAAGCCCTAAGCTTAGAGATATTCCTTTTAGCAACCCATCAACCACTTCCCTCCCCTTTCTCGTGAATTCCTCTAAAGTTTCTCTGCAAAGATTCAACCACAATTACAATCAATAAACAGATAATCTATTTTTTCTCCTGCTAATTTGGTGGTTTAAATGTATCAAAAATCCTATAATGCTTTTCTTATGATTAAGAATATTCTGAATTTATTCAAAAAATTTAAAGATTGAACTGTCCAGCAACTGTAAATGCAGTTTTGTATAAGATCAATAACATTTTCCCTTTATTTTCAAAAGTCTATGACGCTTTCAAACTATAAAACCATTGAGGTTGACTCACTTGTTAGAAAGATAATGGTAGATGGATGAAAACTTAAGTTTATTTCTTATTACTATCATTGTAATCTTTTATAATAAAATCATAATAATTAATTGTTTCTTTAATCATTTTTTTAAGTAGGATATTCCATGGATATTACGTAAGACTCAGATTGTATTTGGATTGATATAAAGATGAGATAAAGTGGAACCGATTATATATATGTACGAGGATTAAAATGAAATGAATTCAAGGAATGTGAAATATAACGGAATAAAACTTATATTTTATTGTTTGGATATATGTTATAATAGAATGAAATAAAATTTCCTTTGCATGTCATTCCTCCAAAATAGGGGAAAGAAAAATAGAAGTAAAAAAAAATAATGAATAGGTTATATCATTACATTTTGTTATATTTTTTTTCACATTTTATTATTTTTTTGTCCTCACATCTTAACTCACTAAAACAAAAATTAATTTCACTTATAATATTTTAATTGTATTGACTTAAAAAATTATGTATTTAATGAGATTTTGAACATGAGATTTTTTTTTGTTTAATATATCATTTCTACAATGAGTAAGTGTAAGGAAACTAGTCACTTTGTCAAACCTATAAATTTCACCAATCTAACACAATAGAATATAGTATTATTATATTTTATTTTCCCCTATTTCATTTTCTTCTATTGATCCAAACATAGTCTAAAAATTTGTTTCTCACTCATTTGAGAATTTGTGGTGTTTTGTTTAAGAAATATACTTAAAGTTGTCATAATTATATATAGTTTTTTTATAAAATAAAACAACTAAAATAGTTAAAACATGAAAAATTATATGTTAAAATGTAAATTAATATTAAATTGGAAAATATAATAGGTTGTGTGGCGAATTACAAATATATAAGGATTTAAGGAAAAGACAATTAGAACAAAATACTATTAATAATAAATTATTATTAGTAGTATTTTTTTCAATACTGTCTTTTGCTTATCAATAATAATAAGTGAAAACAAATGTTGAAATTCAAATACAAAGTTTATAAAAATAAATAAATGAAACAATGTAACATGTGATATAAATTACAACAACATTTAAATCCTTGATTTTAAGAGGGAAAAGTAGTTATTTGTTTCAAATTTATTACAATTAGACTGATCATACAAATAAAATTACTTTTAATTGTGTAAATAATTTAATTATTTTTTTATTTTTATTAAAATAAAATAATTAAATTTTGAATAGAATTTGTTATATATAAAAAAATATAGTACTCAATTGAGACTTTCTGCTTTTGGACATCTTTGTATATATTTATTGTATAATAACAAATTCAACAATGTTGTGTGAATGAAATGCAACTATAAAATATTCTAAATGCATATTAAAATCATAAATTACATAAGATAAAACGTGTACAATTAACATAATGGAATCCTACTCAAACGTGTCTAGCTCAATTATACATAATGTGAGTAAGTATTATAAATTTATTTATATTAAGTTTGACTTTTGTAAATTGAAATAAAATATTAGGATAAACATCACTTTATTTTTTTCGTATTAGTGTTTTAAAAGTTTGTTTTAAACTATTTTAGCTTTGCTGAAATTAAAATTTTTGTCTTAAATTAATTTAATTCAACTTAAAAATAAATAAAGTCTTACCAAAGATTATTTCTATTAAAGATTGTATTTGAATACATCTAAATTTAACTTTGAATTTAACATATTAATTAATTGTATTCAACTTCCTAATTAGCCCACATCATCTATATTTAGTGTGCACGTGGTGGTTTGCATAAAATTATATTTATTAGAAGAAAAAAAAAAGAAATGTCGTTGTCTCCCATTAGGTCTAAGAATCCAATTTCCACCCCCAGTAGTGCCGTATTTATGTTTCTTAATATAAAATAATTTGGTGTAAAAAAAATTATAAAATAAGCAAGTAGTGGACTTATATCATTAATTTGTTTTGTCCAAATTCCAGTTCTTGTTTATTTTCTTCTTCAATTAAAGGTTAAGAGGCAACTGACTAAATATACATGCCACTAAACTTTTAAATATTTTGTTTTCGAGTGTCGGCATTACCACTGAATTATTATGTGGGTCATTATTATGGGTGTTGCTTCCTCTTCACTACCTTTACCCAAAAAAGGAGAAAATATATTTGTTGTCATTTGGAACATGGAAATTAACTTTGCGATTACGAACATCATCTGGCTAGCGTGATGTGTAAAAGACAGGTCACACTGTCACAGGTATAAGAATTACATGTTTGGTTAAATTTTCCCGGAAAGTATATTATGATAAAAAATTGAAAATAATTTATTTATATGATTAAATTAATTTATATATAAATTAATTTGTCTCATATTAATTTTAAAAAAATATTTTTAACTTATCTAGTTTTATTTCATGTTTAAATTTATTAGTTTTTACATATACAAAATTTTATCCATCCATATATACTATGTATAAAAAATAGACTGTATCAAGTGTTTCTAAACTTTCTTATTGGAAAATGGAGGTATTTTCCTCCTCTTTTCTGATTTTGGGATTGGAATAGTGAATAGCATAAAACTAGAAACAGTGGCGTGTGTAGATCAAGGTACTTCGTGAGTAAATTTTAATAATGTTACTTTATTTAATAACTCATCAAATATATTAAATTTTAATAATTTAATTATTAAATTAGAATTTTTTATTGAATAAATTATGTTTATAATTTTTTAAAAAATTTAAAATTATTTAATATTTTGTTACATAAATTTAAATTAACATATATTCATAAAAATATTTTTATATATTA